TTCCTTTTAGTTTTAAAATTTAATTTTCAAAAAGTATTTTAAAAAAATTAAAATACCTGGAAACAGGTATTTTATGTGTGGCCAGTACTTGGTAGCAAACCAGCACCACACCACATCCGAAGAACAAGGCCAAAAGAACCACAATCATGCATCTCTGTTACAATCCCCTTCTGTTACAAAACCTCTTCTGTACTGTGCTGATACTGTTACACAAACAGCAAACTGTGTGGTTTATCTTTTGGATGCCATCAATAAGCATGCAGAAGGCTTATTGAGCAAGAAGAACCAAACAGAGTGAATTGCTTCCCCAGAGCCAGATATTTTAGGCAGTGCTACATAATCCTCCCCAATATCCCCTCTGAAGCTCCAGAAGAACCCAGCCATGAAGCCTACTTTTTACTCTACTGCTTTTTTCATTTTTCCCCCCTCTTTGAAGTAATATCAAGGCTACTTGATAAAAGAAAAATACTTTTTTCCACATTAAAACTCTGTTGGGCCTCTTCTTCAACAGCAGACATTTCATACTTGCAGACTTAGATGACCAAGGGCTGAACAAAACCTGTGCTGACAGAACATCTTCACTCGCCTCATCCAAGCTGTGTAATGCCTCAGGAGTATGGTTTTAAATACCGTGGTACTTACAGAAGAAAAAATTTCCCAAACTTAAGTAAGAGTACTGCCTTTGGCCAGTTCTAGCAAAGGGAAGTTGCCACCACTACTTCCAGCAGCAGCACCTGGCACAAACTGCTTGGACAATTTCTCATGTTGCACTTCCCAGGTGGGACCAGAGTGAAGATAATGACTTCTGGTCAGATGCATTGGCTGGGCAGCCGTGTGGACACATGCATTAAATCAGAAAATTGTGTTGTATTTCTTTTTATTGTAATAGAAAAAAATCCACAAGTAAACCAAAACATCACTTTCTGCCTAAAGACATTATTAACATTTTTAAAATGGCACGGGGGGGAACCTCAGCAATACAAGAGAGAATAATAAGTGTGGGCAGAAGGGTTCTGTTCCCTTTCAGGAGTTCAGTTTCCCTGCCCCTTTGTCCATTAGCTGGCTGAAGTTCATCACCTATATACATTTACATACACTTCTCAGTCTAACTTGTTTTCAGCTGGGTGGAACATTGAGGGCACAGTCCTGCAATTTACACATAACCATCTTTGGAGAAGACAGGTTTCCTCACAGTCCTACAGGGTACAGGGGTCTCATTACCCAGTAAGACCAAGCAAAGAGGATTCCCTCTTACAGTTCTTTCGCCACAAAACACAAAAGTAGGTCCCGAGCCCAAGAGCTCTTTGACTATTGCAAACAATACACGGCTGAGTGAAATTTTAAGGTCACCCAGTGACCTTAAAGTAAGAGCATTATCTCTGCAAAAGGGCTGCTCAGGAGGGGAAAAGGCAGATTGCAAAATGCACAGGGTGAATGTATTTCTTTTCTTTCCTGCCCCAAGAGGATGCAACAAGTCCTGAAGTAGGCAGCCAAGCAGCAACTAGGCTCAGGACATCCTAAGTGGTGGATATACAGGGCATATCTTCATGGTGTAAGTGTGTGGGGTAGAAACCATGGCACCAGTGCGTCCATCACAGGCAGCTGTGCCTGAAGCAATAATTTGCTGAAAGGCAAGCAAGCACAGCTGTGCTGCTTGCAGGTACCAAAGGAGCACACCAGGATGTTGGGCTGCACCGTGTCAGCTCAAGTGTACCTGCTCAACTGAGGAAGCTCCAAGATCTCTAACATGATCTACAGCATTTTGTGGCACAGTCATGTGTGTATTAAGATGAAAGGCTGGTTGCTCTTCTCAAACATGTATGGAAATAACATATATACTAGACAGGAAAACTAAGCTATGGCTTAGCAAAACCAAACACCGATCCTTCCTTCAGGATCATCAAAAGGTATTCATAATGGGCTTTCATAGAACATTTTCTGCATACAGGACATTTGGAGGGGGTAAGATTGAAAGCTTTTGTATAAAACCATCTGTAGTAACTGCTACAGTTATCTCCAAGTCCAGTCTATCAAATGAAATGCTTAAGGAGAAGTTGATGGCACAAACTGAGAACAACAAGGAAAAGGAGCAGCTGGGCTGCAGGGGCCACTGCTGTGCACTGAGAGCAAGTAAGTATGAAACAGCAGAATAGCCTGACAATAGCCTATTCCCATCTGTGCACTGGCTCCACAATGTGCAGGACAACTGAGTATTTGACAGTGACAAAATTGCAGTTTTCCCTCTATTCCAACCCCTCAAAAATACAAACCGTTCTAGTCCACACAGAGTAACAGTGTGGGAAATTTATCAGTCTGCATTATTCTGGGAGAAAGAACCCAGCAGATAAAAGACACCTCGTTTAGGTATGTAAGAAATTTCCAGTGCAGGAAGTTTGAGGTGCAGGACTGAACTTGCAGCAATAATTTTCACAACAAAGCACTGGACAAAGGGCTGTACATTTGCATAGATGCTTTGTTGGCAGCATCTGGGATGTGCAATCCCCATTTACAGAGCATCAGCATTGTTCTGGGGTTTGTCTGATGTCTTTCTTATATTCCTTCCTAAATTTAACTGCTACAAAATTGTTCAGGAAAGTAGTGTATATACATGCATGAAAAGAAAACATTGTGCCTACTTTTTCATTCCCCTGTTCTTTCCCACTGCAAGTAATTGCAAAGCTCTAAAAATCTTAAACTAGAAGATGCAGTATTGATACAATCAAAGGTTAATCTAAGGACAGGACTGCTTCTGCATGTACCCCAAGAAACTCAGTTCCACAGAAAAGCTTAATTTTACTCTTCCTCATTTTCTTTACATTTGGGGAGACCTAGCACTTCTCTTAAAGAGAGCCCTGATATGCTTGACTGCTTTGGATAGGGCAGCACTATTAATGAAACTTGGAACTCCTACTATGTCTGCAGTTGGATATTGAAGGCAGAAATTGGTCCAACTGGTATTATCATGCAGTTGCCATGCTACTCCTGCCTTACTGTACCGTAACTCTGGCTTTGGAAGGGAAAAAAAAACAAACAAGAAAATACAGTTCTTATGCATTAACGATGTCTGTCTATATGCTGATAAGCTTATGTGTGAGAAAAGGAAACATTTCACTTCATTTTACTTTGACCTGAAATTTGTCTCTACCACTTCTGCTCATGAGATTCTGTTCAGCTGGTTCTTTCCCATAACTCTTAGATCTGGCATTACAAGGCTCATGGTAACCTTCAGCTCCAGGTTCCTTCCCACCACAGCAAGTCCCACTGAAGTTCAGCTTCTGAGTGTGACACTGACACATGGTTCAGCTTCATTGCCTTTCCCATACACGTGCCACTGCAAATATCTAATCAGATGAGTTCAGCTCTTCCCCTGAGCAAATGTCAGTGAAATATGCCAACTAATCCTGGGATACCTTCACTTCCTAGGCTACCAGTACCTGCTCTGCTTTTTTTGCTAGACTTTAGCAAATACCCCCAAAATAGAAGCACTGACAAAACAAAGACATGCAAGTCTGCAAGGGATGTCCAGGACATCCCCTTATTTACTTCAAGTTGTGTCATGGGCTGCTGAATGCTCACGGAATGAATTTCCACTTACCAGCACAGGAGTTATGTAGAAAGTGTCAGCCTACTTGGGCAAGACAGCCTTTATAAATTAGTATAATACTATTAGAAATTATGGCAATATTTTTGGTAGCATTGTCTTACATGCACCCTGATAAATTCCCTCCCCAGGAAATTTTAAAACTTGTCTTGTAACTTCTGTAGAGTTAATTCTCATGAGAAATTATAAAATAGAAATCTGGTAGATTCATGTTTAAAAAGGAAGAGGCCTGGTGAGGCTGGGCACACTGGGTCACTCCTGTTAGCTCTGTCCATTATGTCTGCTGAAGGTATTTCCTCCGGGTGGCTGGATCTGGATGGAGTCCAGGAGGGGCCTTAAAGCTTGTCCAAAAGGTCTGAGAAGGTAAAGAAATAAACATCTCAAATAGTTCACTTGGTCAGCAACTCCCATTTACCACTGAAGTGCAGTCACTTCTTAGAGTTCAATCAAACCAACATTCTAGAAGCATATTTGAAGACAAGACTTCCAGTACAAACTGAAGCAAAATAATTTAACCTATTAGTTTACCCTTCAGTAACTAAAAAACTTAAACATGATTTTATATAAGGTAGTTCTGAGTCCTAACATGCCTAGTCTGCTAATGTAATACTGTCTGAAACCAGCTCTCAGTAATTCATTCTACTTAAGTGTGAAAACAAAATCCCTATTATGCAACTGCAGTGTTCCATAAGTACATCAATATTGAGACCTGCCAAAAGAATAGCCTCTAGCTTACTTAAAATACAATGGTTCAACACTCCCAGAATAATTTCTGTTGCAATCTGTAACACCTGGTTTATCTTTCAATAGGACTCACTCTGTTACAGACTTTATCTGATTTTGAGAGATCTGAAGGGCTAAGAGTCCAGGGTAGAAGACACATGTCTCACAAATAATGTGCTATACCACTGTTCAGAGAAGTAAGACCTAAATGATGGAGCCCACATCATCCTACTGGGATCCTCACCAGCTGAGAGTTTAAAAAAAAAATAATCTGAATTACAAGGCAGGAATTCTTAATTTCTTTTTTTTCCCATATCCTCTTCTCCCACCCAATCTTAGTTTTAAAACTGCAGCATTAATTTTAAAATTGTACCTCCCCTGCCTCTTCACAAGCAAACTGACACCTCTGCTGCCATTATGGTGCTTAGAGAAATTACTTTTAACAGATACTGGCTGTCTAAGAGGGAAAAAAACCCCTTGCACTGTTTTCTGAAACTTTCCAAGCTTGTCTGGTCACATACAAGAGACCATCACAAAGTAGCTAGTGCAAGTTAAAGGCAGAATGACAACCTTCTCCTGTCTTTTGGAATACCAGTGCCAGTTAGCACTTGTCATACAGTGTTGCAAGTGTTGATGTAAAGAAAATTGCATCCTCTCCTTAATCTTATGCTGGTTCTCAGACAGATCCATCAGAAACTGGTACTGCTGGCTCTGTCAAATGTTTAATGTTGCAGTTATGTTCAAAGAGGTTATAAGACTCTCCTCTGTGCCACAGAAAATAAATTGAAACAAAACCCAACAGATTCAGCAATAAATCTTACAAACAGAAAAACTTACACCTGTACATCTCCTTACATTAGCACTTCCTTGCCCCACCCAAAGAATTCCAAGGCAAACAGGCAAAATACACACATCAAATCACCCTCAAATTCAATTGAATCAGGGTGGAAAATGACATCTCTCTGCATTCCTGAATTTAATACAACCATTTTTGGGAGAATAGGTGAGGTCAGGTTTCTTCAATTAAAACCACAGTAGCAGTAATGAGAAATCACAGGAATTATTGACTCTGAAAGACAGCCAGAACACTAAATGTTGTGGTTTCCTATTCTTGTGAGAAGCAGAGTAGACTCTTTAACAGTCAAGACCTTGCTTCTACTCATGTGAAAATTGGCAGCTTTACTACAGTGACTACCTATGACTCACTGGGTAAACTGCTATTTACTGAGAGATTTAATTTTCCCTGGTGATTCTCTCAAAAGCATTTCAGGCATTATTCGATTTTACAAAAAACAGTGTGAAAGACTTCCCAGAAGAATGCTTCTTTCCCAGACTAGAAAGTAGCTCCTTGAGTTTATTGGTGCATCAGTCCAGTCCATATTTTAAGAGTACCAAATGAGAGAGTAAGTGGACAGAAGCTGTGAGCTGGATTGATTTCATAACACCTTCCTCCCCTCTGCACGTTTTTGGTATACAAGTTTTCCAGTACAAGCTGTTACTTACCGGAACATAGATTCGCCCAAAGAGGAAAGGTATTCCAGAAAAATTTCTTCAGTGACTTCAGTGTTCCCCAGATCAACAACTGTGTCTGGAGGTCCAAGAAGTGTCCCTCCCTGTAAAAAAGAACAGCCAGAAGATAATGTCAAATGATCCAGCTGATTTTTTTTTTTGAGTTTTGAATTTATTCTACTGAATAAAGCTATTATGGTTTGTCCAGGCAGAAAAGAAGGAACTTTTGGTGTGTTTGTCAAGAAAAAAAGCCCTGCTGGCCTCCCTTGTTCTGCACTCAAGAGAATGAAAAGGAACATGCAACTTCCATTTCAGCTGGTAAATTTGGCTCTCTGGGCTGAAAGCTCTAAGATATGGCAAAATTTTGCTTTAGAAGCATGGCCTATCCATTTTACCTCTTTAAGAACAGAAAGGTCTGAGAAAATATCATAGTTTGGGGCTTTTTTTCACCCTTAAAAAGTCTGCATGCAATATTTAATGACACAGAATTGGACAAGGTGTCACTGGCAAAGCAGTTGCAGAAGGTGTTCTGGACAGATAGACTGTACCAGAAGAAGCAAACCCCAGCCTGAACTGGGTTGGGCTTAAACCGTGCTCCCTTTACCCTCAGTACCATGGGAAACTGTGACAAGCAGCTGGCTTCAGCATCTGTCTGAATTTAGAAGTCTTTTGCTGCTTTTCTAAAAGACAGTAACACAAGCAATTCTGATCTGGTAACCCTATAAAAAATGATTAGAAAATTAAGTTTAACTTACAGGTGCACAGCTGGAGATTCCTCCACTGCCATAGAAGAATTCATCCTTATGGACTATTATGGAGGTGTGCCTGCCACAGAGAACAAAAGAAAAAGTTGAAATAAAGGAAAAAGTAAATAGCCTAGTACATAAATCACTGATAAATTTATGAGCTCAAGGACATAATGAAGGGAATAACTGAAAGAAAAGGTCAATGTGTTTCTGTGAGTGGGCACAGGATCTGCTGGGACATGAATGGATATGGAAGCAATGATTATCAAGCCTACTGTAATTCTGCAAGCAGTTAGGAAAGAACAGGCTTAGCTAAGAGCTCAGGCATGAGCCTCTCTCAGCTAACGGGCTGAGGGTGAGGTCAGCCCTCAGAGATTGAACTAGCCCTGCTACCACACTGAGACTTCTCACTGGCTGAGAAGCTGGTCAGACAACCACTGGAGATGGATCAGTAGAAAGGAAAACAGATGGACAAGGGTTTAGGGGTTTTCTTGCCTCTGAAAAAAAAAACCCAAACCCAAACAAGCCTTCTTCATCTGGTATCAAAATTCTTGGTATGAAATATAGGAAATTAGAGATTTTTTGTGACTGAATACAGATGCTGCTCTCATATGGCAGAAGACTTGATCCTGTAATACCTTCTTCCCACCTACTCTTTTACTCTCATGTTTAGTCATGCCTGGAATTATAACACAAAGTGCCTGGGACAAGGACACGATTTTACCCTTGAAAAAGTACACAGGTGCACAAAAACACAACTACTAACAACACCCTTTTCCATGGGGTCCACTGGGCTTTGAACAGTGGTTTTACTAGCACCTGACTGAACATCATCTTACTGCCAGTCTGCATTCAGGAACAAAAAGTATCTTGGTCTCTCTTCCACAACAAAATATTCTTAAGATCTGAAGCATATATAATTGCATATTGAACATACTTCCTACACCAGTGTTATTGCACATGATGCAGTTTAAATCTAGTCACTTACCAGATGCCATCCAGCTGTTTCCCTGTATGCAGAGAAAAGAAGAGTTATTAGCAATGTATTTTCCAGATTTCAGCCTACGTTCTGTCAATCACTTAGGAACCATGCTTATCATGACAGCAATACCAAAGGTTTAATCCAGAGTTGCTTCTAAAATGTCCAGAATGTCTTTCAAATTAACTGCTCAATCCACACTACTGTTGTACTTCTTCCCTCCTGGCAGGCAGAGGTAGCAATACCATCCTATCCTACCAGTGCTTACCTTCTTTAGGTGTTTTCTCTACAGACCAAGAAAGAAAACATTTTCCTAAAATTAGAGTCTTCAATCAGGAGCAGAAGAGTTGAATTTGACAGATTTCATAACTGCAGGCTACTAGCCAGCAGAGTGTATTATTCAGTTCTCATTTTCAGTAACTGATGAGAGGTCTGACAAACACATGACCAGTGGTGGTAGCCTCTATAATGTATTCCACAATTTCCTCCTTTCCCTCCCTCTCCCTGCCCTTAAAAATTAGTTTAAGTGGAAGCTGAGGTAGAAAAGTGCAGCACTGAAATTTATACAAGTTACCAAGCTGTGTGTTTTGCAGAACACAGCAGCAAAGACTTGCTTCAGGCACCACTACACTGATAATATAATTGTGTCTCAAAGAAAAGGTCCCCTTCAAAATGTGTTTCCAGTTTCCTAGAAGCAGGAGACCTAAACCTCTCTTCTGTTCATGGTAGGATCTGAAGATTAAACCTCTTTCCGAAAGGTCACCAGCTTTTATGGCTCTAGGCTTATTTTATTTTTCATAACCTAAAGTCTTGGTCCCTGGTACCCTTCCTTTGGGAGCTTGTAGAGTGCCAGTGGATGCTGTGGGAGATGTGTTATAACTTTATTTCCTGAACAAGGTACATAAGTCCCAGAAAGCAGATTTCGAACAGAAAAACTACATGCATGCCAATATTTGGTATTCTCTTGAACCCAAGCACTAGACTGAGTACTCCTTTGCCACAAGAAAATGCAATCACTAACACATTTTTTTCCACTCAAGTCTGAAGCAAAATAAGTACCTGCTTCAGATGAGAGTCATGGAAGAGCAGAGACAGGGAAAAGGCTGTTGTGACAATAGAGACATCATCTGAAGAGAGCACACGTAGTTTTGAAGCAGGTGGACTGATCTGTCACTCCCATGGAACACAGCCAGGCAGCAATCACATTCCCTGTCAATCCATTGCAGAGAAACGTAGGCTTGGAGTAGGATGAAGGCCAAAAGAGAATGGCAGTAATGACAGAAGCAGAACAGTGTGTTGCAGTATCTCAGAAGCATCTGCTGGTCCTTTAGTATGTCCCACTGTTGTGCTTCGTCATCCTTTGGCCCTTGTTCCACATCTCCCCATCAGAGGTTTCACCTTGCACTCTGGAGCTGCCAGCACCCATTGGCCCTGGAGGCTCAGCACCACAGGTGGCACTGGCCTCTGGTTGGCTTTGCCCACAAATTATTACACATTTGTTCACAATAAATAAATTTTTCACTAGAAACTTGAACTTTATGTTTCAGACCAGAGAAACAAATAATTTCAAAGGTAGCACATATTAGAATTGTGCCTGCTCTTTGCATGCTAAATTGAAAGAGAACATTTTAATATTTACTTTCTCACACCCCTGCAGCAAACAATAATGAAAGACTTTCCAGAGAGTTGCCACTTTGTACCTAGATTCTGTAGGAAGGTGCAAGAGCTACAGTAGATATTGACAACGTCACAGATGCTGCCTGGACCTGCTCATGCAATCACAACACCTACCTGAAAAGATCATTGCAGCAAAGGCTACACAATGGGCTGCTCTAGCAAGGTTGCAGCCTGCAATTCAAGGGAGGTAACTCTGTCCTCCAGTTTGACACTTGTGAGACCACATCTGGAGTGCTGTGTCCACTTTTGTATCACCACAGTAAAAAATGCACTGATGTACCAGGCTGGAGCAGTTACTGTACTGAAGAAGAGCTTAGAGAACCTGTGTTCATCCTCAAGAAGAGAAAGCGAAGAGTCTGTATTCCTGTCTACAAGTACCCAACAGGTATGGATGAAAGGGGATCCTTGCTCTACTCAGATATGCATAGTGAAAGGCAACATGTGCTAGCTGGAAAATGGGAAATTCACAATTCAGTAGGAAGCAGCAAAAACATGAAGATGGTCAAAACATTGGGGCAGGAATCCAGAGAGCACGTGGGATTTCAATCCTTGAAGATACTTAGAACTCTGCTGTCCTGGGCTCTGAAGAATTTGTTCTTGTTGGCTCTACCTTGAGCAGGAATTCTAGAGGTCCCTTTTCACCAAAGTAGTTATCTGGTTGTATGTACAAAACCCAAGCAGAATTCTGGAATTGGACTTTGCTTTGGACTGCAGTCCAATCTTTACTGCTACACATGAAGTCTGTAGCAGTCCAAAGGCAGCAACTGCCAGGGCAACAACAGAACAGCTTTTGGCAAGCAAAGCTGCCTATCTTCACAAGGCAGGTCTGTCTGTGGCTGCTCAGCTCAGCCAGTTTGTGCCAACACTGATTTGAAAATCTTAATGAAGCTGCAGACCCACTATTTTTCCTTGGCTCCTAGAAGTCATTAACCAAGCTGGCATTGTGGAAAACACACATCAGATCTGCAGCACTGCTGACAATAAGGCATCTGTGGTAGCTCTCCAGCCTGCTACAGACAAAATATAATCCCTTTCTTCCTGTGGTGGACTGTGTTTGGTTAGAGGCAAGAGTCTTTGATGACAACTCTGCTGGGGGAATCCCAAGCCTAAGAAACCTGCCATTATTGGCCACATATGCATCACCCAGAGACATCCAAGACAGAACTTTAGGTAAACTGCTGCAGTACCCCAGTTTCACAGGTTGGCTGTTGTTATTTCAACTCAAACTGAGCCCCAGACAAATAAATCAATGACCACCAGTTTCTGAGGAACTCAGGCAGCTCCCTTTCCTGCTGCTCAGCAAGAATCTGTGTTGCTTGTTTGTCATGTAAGAGGTTACGTACAGACCTTCACAGATAATCACCTTCCTCCTGAAGTTTTGCTCTGATGGGAATCCTCCTCTATGACTCTTCTTGCCCTTTCTCCCAAACTCAGACACTGCACAGAACAGGTGACAGCTCACCACCACTGCCAAGCCTGATAAGCTCAGGTAGAGCAATCAGGGCAGCCTGCACCGAGTTATGTTTTGCCCTCTGCTTGACATTGACCACTATACACAAAATATTTTGCCCAGAGGCTCTGAAGGCTTGATACACACAAATTCCCCAACAGCATGACCAAGCAAGGCTACAGCATTGCTATGAGTGTTAAGACAGAAGTTGTATCCGGGCCTTACAGCAACACTTTCCAATAAAGCTGCTTCTGGCAGCACTGTCCAGCTTAAAAAACAGAAGCTCAAGCTTGCCATGAACCTCCCCAAATAATCCTATACTGCAATAAAGCTCACATCCCATAGTCAATTGAGTGGATTGTAAGAAGGGATTGCAAACACTATCCAGGATACTGGCAGATATCATGCTTCCTGTTCTTCCACTCCTTGCCCAACACTCCCAACTCCTGTGGTCACTGCAATGTGGGTAGAACTGTGTGCTGCTACTGCCAGCAAAACCAAGCCATTTACTCATGACCTGAGGCTGTCCATTACTGTATAGAGAAGTCTGATTCTCCAGTAATTTCCACTGGAGCTGAAAAACCCTTTGCAGCATTAAACTGCAGGCATTACCTTTGACTCAATACCTACAGTAAAACTAATTCAGAGGATGCACATGCTCAGAATGCAGGACAGGAATGTCCTGATGGGATGATGTTCTTTTAAGCACTTATTGTATCTGAAGGGAGGGTATCAAGAGGATGGATCCAGGCTCTTCTCAGTGGTGACAAGCAATAGGATGAGGCAATGGGCAGAAACTGAGGCACAGGAAGAGCCATCTGGACATGAGAAGTTCTTTACTGTACAGGTGATGACACACTGGAATAATTGCCCAGAGAGTCTGTGGAGTTTCTCTCACTGACGATATTCAAGAACCATCTGGACTCAATCTTGTGCAATGTGCCTGGGATGACCCTGCTTGTGCAGGGAGACTGGACCAGATAACCCACTGTGGTTCTTTCCAACCTTACCTCTTCTGTGATCCAGGTAAAACAGCGAAACAGCATGATGCTAACTAGGTTAACTATTTCAAGGGTCAGGAGGCTGTTGAACAGGAAAGGTTGGTGCAAATTTAGATATACACATTTAGTCACACAACCTTGAATGCATATGGCCATGCTATCAGGTATCAACTCTCCCAGAGGAATTGCCTATGTGCCAGCTCAGCCTAAAGAAAATGTGAAACAAATCAGCCTGGTTTGACCTGCATCCATTCCAAGCTAATGCAAGTCAAGGTACCTTTTTTTAACCCTACAGACTGTGAATATGGACATGAACAGCTACTATGTTATATTTGTGAGAGTTTAGGGGGATAGATAGCCTGTCAGTCTTTGGAAACAAGATCCCTATGTCTTTTGACTGTTTATTTGCTTGAGCATGGTTTTGTTTTTATACTTTTTTATTTTTCCCTTATTGATGTGCTTCTGTGGCTCTTTCCTGAAAATACTCACTAGAACCTGGGGGAAGATGCCAGTTCAGCATAAATCAGTGTGCTTAAGCATCTGAAAGATTCAATTTGTTTCAATAAGGCAGACTATCATCTAGCAAGTAAGCAAGTTTTTATATTTGCTGTTTTATTTTCTTTATAATGTTCATAGCTCAAATACTTTAATGGTGTTTACATGAGACAGAAACCTATGAGAAAAATAGAACACAAACAAATCCAGGACCCTCATCTTAGTCACAGGAACATGGAGAATGAAGTAGTTAGACTAGCTTCTTGTAAAATCAACTCAGGAGACTGTAATTGTTTGGATACGGGGAGATTTTGAAAGAAGAAGGAAGCCCATATAATTTTAGAATACAATTGAACTGGATTACTTCCATGTTTAGATTTGTCTGGAAGGCCAAGCACAAGGGCCATTAGATACTCACCAATCTTCTTTT